TAATTGTTTGACTGGCAGTACAATTATTTCCTAATTTAGTAAGAAGAGTTAACCACCAGAGGGCAGTCACATTACAAGGCAGTAAGGAGAGAAGCGAGCCACGACTGGAGAGCAGGGGAGACATTCACATGAAGTACACCTGTTGTAACCCACCCCATCATTCTTTTGACACTGCTTTTGTAAATGCGGACTCTGACTAATACGTAACTTGTAGATAAACAGCATATTTGTATAAGAATCCTAGGAACTGACTTTAAAGGATGCAGACTCGGACCCTCACACATTTCAGGTCTGGGAGATTCGCTGACCTTGGCCCATAAAACTAGGATGATGTAAAACAAGAGTGACGAAAACCAGGGTGATGCAAACCAGACCATCCCTTGACCAATTTCAAGGTTCTTATCAGAATAGACTGTGCTGGTCTGCATGTATAGAACTTTTCAACACCGTCCCCTTGATTTCTTTGTTCTGCTTTCCATCTCCCTCCTTAAATTCTGCCTGCACGGAGATGTTAAGATGACCTTTGGGGCAGGTCCCCCATCTTCTCAAACTTCTGTCACTTGAATAAGCCCTCTTTCCTTCCATCAGCTCCTGTCTCTTGAGTATTGGCTCTTGAAGCAGAAGGCAGCCAAACCTGGGTTTGGTATCACTGTGGCATTTAAAAGTCTGATTTCAATGAAATCTCATGAAAATTTTATTGCCTGCTAAGATTATGTCACTCAATTCTGACACGTTCATGTGTGCTGGGGGCAGTGTTTCCCCATACCACCAAGCAACTCTCGGACACCAGTTGGGTGTCCTACAATTTAACTCAACTCTGACACTATCTACCAGAGAGAGAGCATCGGATTCCACATATTAAGTGCTCTGTTTGATAACGTTGCTCCCCTACACCCACTTCAGATTCCAACTGCAAGTCCAGGTTGTTACTTGGGCTTCTGACCCACTATAGACTATAGATTCCAATGACCTCCTCCTTGCATTTGATTAATTTGCTAGCTTGGCTCACAGAACTCAGAGAAATATTTTACTTATTAGATTACTGATGCATTTACATGATAAAAGGATGTAACTCAGGAACAGCCAGGTGGAAGAGATGCCGCGAGCAAGATACAGGAGAAGGGTATAGAGCTCCCATGTTCTCTGAGGGTGCCACGTTCCCAGTGCCTTTGTGTGTTCACGAATTTGGGAGCTTGCTAAATCTCCTCCTCCCCTCCTCTTTGGGTTTTTATGGAGACTTTGTTACACAGGCATGGCTGATTGAACCTCCAGCTGCCCAGAGGTCAGGTAGGTGGGACTGAAAGTTGCAACCCCTTAATCACATGGTTGGTCCTTCAGGAAACCAGCACCCATCCTTAGGTTTGGTCCAGAAGTCGCCTTCATTCCTCTCATCACTTAGGAAATTCCAAAGGTTTTAGGGGTTCTGAACCAGAAACATGGATAAAAAACAAATACCTATTTTTTATTATAAATTTCAATATCACAGCTGCTTACTTCACTCTGTGTTCTGTGTTGTGCTGGGAGTCCAACAACTAATAATGCCTTCCAAACAGTCTACAGCCAAAACAGACCATGTTAAGGCAGAAAGAATGGCCACCCGTTGGCAGTGGGGTTTCTTTCCATTCATTCAGCAACTCTGTATTAGGCACTTATTATGTGTCAGTCACTATTCCATGAACGCGGGTTTGTCAGTTAACAAAGCAAAGATTCCTGACCTTGTGCAACTGACATTCTGGAGGGAGGTAAGGCCCCATAAAAACTAACATAAACAAGTAAATTATGAAGTGTATTAGGAGACAGGTGCTGTGGAAGACAGGAAGAGCAGAGTTGAGCAGGGGGTGGGGAAAATTGGGATTCAGGTACCAGGTTTGCAATTCTAGGGAGGGTGGTTAGAATCGGCCTTTGGAGGGAGACATTTGACCAAAATCGAGGTGAGGGACTAGGCCATAAGGCTCTCTGGGGGAACAGCATTTCAGGCAGAGGGAACAAACATGAGAAGGTCCTAAGGCAGGAGTGTCCCTAGTAGTAGGTGAGGGCGACGTAAAAGGAGGCAGATAACAGGATGACTTGTTTTTACTCAGTGATATGGAGAACCACTGTAGGATTTTGAGTAGAGGAGGGACATTTTTATTTTTATTTTTTAAAAGGTTTTATTAATTTATTTTTAGACAAACGGGAAGGGAAGGAGTGAAACATCAATGTGTGGTTGCCTCTCACACGCTCCCTCCTGGGGACCTGGCCTGCAACCCAGGCATGTGCTCTGACTGGGAATGGAGCCGGTGAACCTTTGGTTCATGGGCTGGTGCTCAATCTACTAAGCCACACCAGCCAGGGCAGGAGAGACATTTTTAAAGGGCCACTCTGGTTGCAGTGTTAAGAAGAATCTCCAAGAGACTTATCTCCTATAGAAGCTTCCAAATATTCTGTTTATCAGCTCATCAAAAAGCACAGACTACTTGGCTGTAAAAAGGAAGAAAATCTTACCTTTTGCAACAACATGGATGGACCTGGACAGTATTACGCTAAGTAAAATAAGCCAGTGAGAGAAAGGCAAGTACCATATGATTTCACTCATATGTTGAATCTAAATGAACAAAATAAACTAACAAATAAAATAGACACAGACTCATAGATACAGAAAACAGAATGACAGCAATCAGAGGGGAGGGGTGGGGTTGTGGGGCTGGGTGAAAAAGGTGAAGGAATTAAGAAAAAAGCAAAACTCATAGACACAGACAACCATATAGTGATTACCAGAGTGAAAGGGGGTGGGGGGAGGTATAGAGGGTAAAGGGATTATAAATAGTGATGGAAGGAGACTTGACTTGGGGTGGTGACCACACAATACAATGTACAGATAATGTATTATAGAACCGTATACCTGAAACCTATATAATTTTTATTAACTAATGTCACCCCAATGCATTCAATTTTAAAAGGGGGGAAAAGCACAGAGAATGACAATTAAATTCAACCATATTCTGTCACCATTTAGCTAATAGCACCAATGCAAAGATATCCCCACTGTGCCATGTGTCCCAAGTACTTTACATACCTTCTCATTTAATCTTTCCAATACCCCTGTGGTAATGTCACCACTATTAGCTCTATTTTAAAGATAAGAAAAAGGAGACTGTAAAAGTTTGTGACTGGTAAGTAAATGGAATTCTTGAAAGCTGTATCTTGAAGAACTCCACTTACACAGGTGAAGAAACATAGCCTAAGCAAGGCTTAGCACCCTGGTGGTGAGGAACTACAGATGGTGATGGCAGGGCAGCTGGAAGGGGTATGTGTGATGGCAACTACCACCTGCTTCTTTAAAGTTCAATCTAGCCATCCCACCACAGACTTACCCACATGGTAACTGGACTGACTTCTGTATGGCTGATTTTTAAGTTTCCCTCTAGACCAGGGGTGTCCGATCTGAGGCCTGCAGGCTGCATGTGGCTCAGGATGGCTATGAATGTGGCCCAATACAAAATTGTAAGTTTACTTAAAACAGTATTTTTGTGTGTGTGATTATGTGTCTCAGTGTATTTAATGTGTGGCCCAAGACGACTCTTCTATTGTGGCCCAGAGACGCCAAAAGATTGGACACCCCTGCTCTAGAGTTAGACCTCTCCGTGGTCTATTCCGTGAAGATTTGGGCTTTTAAGGAACAGTGTCCATCACTGAACCAACTTTGCTCTAGGCAGTTCCACTTAAAGCTCAGGGGTTTAAAATCTCACTCAGGCAGTGCTGCTCACAGGAATGTCTCAGGAGTGGTGCTAGTTAAGTGACAAGGTAAACAAAGAAATTGAAAGTGTTTATAAACTTTCATAGCCATTTTAAAGAGTAATTTTATGTCTGCTGAAGCTAATAAATTGGGGGTTATATTTAGTATATCTTGTTTTTAAACTTCAGTTTTCATATAATTTATTTTTATAGTATTTTACTCGAGAGGCTGAATATACAGTGATCAGACCATATATAAAAAATAGAACTCTCACCCCCAACCTGCAGCAGCAACCTGCCTAGAAAAACCTCCTCCTCTCTACGATGATCAGCCTAGAAAGGCAGACTGATATTAGACTTAGCCAGATTGTCAGTTTTAGTAACAATCCAAGAAGCTAAACAGTGATTTCTCTGACATTTGGCCCCAAATGGCCAGGACTTGATTAATAGCTGACAGCTTCCTAATTTTTGTCCCTGCTTCCAGCTAAGAACCAAGCAGCGAAAGCCAGACATGGCTAGCCAATCACAAAGGATGCCCTACTTCCAATCAGTCTACCTTCAGCTTGCCTATACCAACAGTCTCCTCTAAGGGCACACCTGCAGCCTCCCCTTCTTTCCATTATCAACCTTTCTCACTCCTCTGCCCGCCTTTGAGTCTCTGCCAAAATGTAAGGGATGGGACGCTGACTCTCTCTATAGCAAGCTCTGAATAAATTGCCTTAGCATTTGGTTGGTCTACACTTATTTCCACATACCAGAAAAAAAAAAAAGAAAAGGAAATATAAAAATAAAAACAAGACAAAACAGGGGTCCTTCACCACAGACATCTTAATGAGTCTTGAAGGCTAGGTCCGGAGGTCGCCTTCAGGCAGGGGCCTCGAGGGCAAGGGAAAGGAGAGCTTCCCAGGCACACACCGCTGGGAGAGCGAGGATAATGTGGTCGCGAGATTCTCTGCCTAGGAGTGGCTCCGCGGAGGGAGGGGACGGGTGACCGGGGCCGGGAATATCGGCTACCTCCCGCTTTCACGCATCCTGGACCCAGTGCCTAAGACCCCGCGGTATGGGTGGGGCTTCTGCGCATGCTCTCCGCGCAAGCGCACTCTCGGCACCACCTCTCAGACTGTGTTAACGTCACGTCCGCCGACGGTGACGGTGGCGGTGGCCGCTGGGTTCTCGTTCTTGGGCGGCCGGCGCTGGGGGCTGCGGTCCCGCCGTTCCCCTCCGCCCGGCTGGCCCGCCTGTGGCGCCCTTGACCCCCTAGCTGGCCATCGCGTCGCCTGCCCGCCCGCCCGCCCGCCCGCCGGTCAGCGCCCCTGGCCTGGTTTCCGCGGCTTCCCCCGGACAGCTTAGTCTCAACCCGGGTTTCCACTACTAGAGGTGAAGCCTAATAGAGATGGGACCAGGGTTCTTAGACCAGGCTGTGTATACTTTTCCGTCACGGTCAGGTGTACGGTCAAAGACAGAAAATGTAATTTACAATATTTCCTCCAAGAGGAGGCGTTTGTCATAGTGCAACCTGAGACTGGTTTCCTTAGGCAACATACACCGTATCGCCGTGCAGCTGTTTGGATGACTCTTTGAAATAAACCTCCAGATTTAGCGTTTTAAGGCTTTGATATTTTTGTACTTAAAAAACCAGCTTGGTCCCCCAAAGCTCAGGACCCTTTAGATTTTCTCATTTTAAGCGAATCCTAATCTCTCCTGTGACTGATTTGGCTCAGAGTATATTCTTTCTGTAAGGAAGACCTTGGCTGTTTGGAACTGGGTCCTCTTGTGATCACTGGAGATATGTCGGTATTTCTAATACCCGAGAATTGTATTCTTTTTTTGTATCGACACTTTAAACATTTGGGTCAGGCAGTACTTTTTTGAAAAATGCATTACACCCATTATATTCTTAAAACACAACCTAATTTGACTTTTTCCTGATGACTTGCTGTTAATCATATGAAGTTATTGTGACAGAATGTAACATCCCTAAATTTTTTGAGTTCTGATGACGTACTTCAATTTGTTATTCTGTCTCCTACATTGTGGCATCACTTGACTACCAGTTACATTCCTGCCTCTCTTCTGGTTTATAATTTAATGCTGTTGAGCTTTATGGGTTTTGAATTTGATAATTACATTTGGTAGAATTGTGTTTAAAGGAAAACTAAGTGAGGAATTTGTGGCTTTTTGATTTTTCATTGTACAAAATGCCCAGTTTAGAAAACATAGATAAGCAAAAGAAAATTTAAAATTATCTGGAATCCTACTACTTAAAGATAACCATTGCTAGCATTTCAGAATATAGTCTAATTTTTTTTAATGTATAGTATTTGTAAAACAAAAACAGGATCATAGTGTATACTGTTTGGTAACACCTTTTGCATGACATCTAGTCTTCCTGTTTCATTTTTTTTTTCTTTGAACATGTACTGTGGCTAGGTGCTCTCATAAGTAAAGTAGGATCCCTAGTGCATGAACTTGTGGCATCTATTTTAGCAGCTCAGAGGACTTCGGTTTTATGTCTTGGCTTTTGGCCGAAGTGCACAGGTGTGGTGATGTTAGAGTTGTGTAAAAGGAAAGATTTACTGTTGAGTCCTATGCAAGGGCAGATAGTTTATTACAATATATCTAATTCGCTGAGAAGTTGGAGAAAATCATTGAAAAATTTTAATTCTTCATTCTTTGTTACTAAACTCACTTTCCCCTCTCCTACTTTTTGTCTCTATCTCCTTCAAGAATGAAACATGACTGAGGATTCTCAGAGAAACTTCCGTTCAGTATATTATGAGAAAGTGGGGTTTCGTGGAGTTGAAGAAAAGAAATCATTAGAAATTCTCCTAAAAGATGACCGTTTGGGTGAGTCTTATGAGTTAAACTAAGCCTACTGGTTGCCAGTCATCCCAAATGTTCTGAAATGTTACTTTAAGAGACATCCAGAGATATTTGTTACCTGCTGTATATTTTAGTGACCGGGTGACAGCAGAATGGTATATATATTTTGGGAGAAGTTATGGATTTTTCAAGTTTATATTTCACTGAGACAGGGTCAGATGTTTTTGAAAGACCTCTTTAGAAGTCAGTAATATTTTTTTCTCATATCAGATCTATATATTTTACTAATTTTCAGAGGTGTCACCACAGCTTCTGGGTAAGTTTATAACTCTTGCCATGATTTTCTTTTATGCAACTATTGATACTGAAATACTGACATTTTTTAGTTTCTTCCAGCCAGTAATAATAAGGTCTGTTCTGTGGTTGACTAAAGTAAAATAAACTGAACCATAGTTAAAAATAGTACTTTATATGCATACAGTGCTTTAAAATTTCAAAAACATTTTTTTACCCGATCTTTGATCCTTGCTAGACATTCTGCGCTTCAGATATGTGTGGTGTTATCATTCTCATTTGACAGGTCGGGAAACTTAGGTCCAGGACAGTTCATTGTGCTTTATGAGAAAATGTGAGATTTGAGGATTAACTCTACCACTTACCTGCTTTGAGCTTCAATTTCTTCATCTTTAAAACAGTAACTAGCCAACAAGCTTGCAAGGTGGATTAAATGAACTACGGTAAATTCTATAAATAGTGACTACTGCTAATATTATTGGAAATGTAGTAATATAGCCAAAATGGATCTCCTATGCTGTGAAACACTAACTGTTTTTAAGTGGCTAGGTGGTGGTACCCCTGGGCTAAAAATCAGACCAGTGTGGCCTTTCTTCGATTTATTGACTGTTTGGCAGGCTTGCTCTGAAGAAATGTTTTGCTATACTTTAAGCTGTAAACAATGAAATGCACTTTTATATATTGTGACCAGCATGAAACGCTTCTAACTATTGTTTTTTTCCCTCTAGATATTGAGAAACTTTGTACTTTTAGTCAAAGATTTCCTCTCCCATCCATGTATCGTGCATTGGTATGGAAGGTGCTTCTAGGTATGAGACCCAATAGTCGGAAATTTATCTTCAAAAATGTTCATTTGTCATCGTATAAGTTAGAAAAAGGAGAATTTGTTTAGGCCCTTACTGAATGTCGCGTCTAATTTTAGGAGACTGAATTACTGTTCAGTATGATTGCCTTTAAGGAGGTGACTTCAGTCGCACCTTCTTACTCTTAAGAGTGTCAGTTTATTAATGATAGAAGAGAAAGTAATATATGTGTTCCTAAGGCAAGGTGTGGAAAGAACATTGTACTGGAAGAAAGAACTGGTCTAGGCTTTGCTGTCAACGAATAACTTTGAAGAAGACCCTGCTAGAACCCTGACTGGTGTGGTTCAGTGGGTTGGGTGTTATCCTGCAAACCAAAGGGTTGCTGGTTTGATTCCTTATCAGGGCTCATGCCTGGGTTGCAGGTCAGATCCTTGGTTAGGGGCGTGTGAGAGGCAACCAATCAATGTTTCTCTGATGCATTGATGTTTCTCTTCCTCCCTTCCCCTCTCTCTAAAGATAAAAAAATAAACTTTTTTTTTTAAGGACTCTGCTAGTCTCAGTTTTTGCTAAATTAACTGTCAGGTTTTAGCTTTCAATTTTCATTCCTGTGATTCCTAGCTATAGAGGTATACTTCCTAAGGAGTGTTATAAGAGTCAAAAGGAATTTAAGAGTATTTACTTTCCAGAAGTGCAAACAAATCAATTCCAGTAAAGGAAAAGGAAAACGATCTTGCCCAGTTTCTGTGGAAGAAAATGAATTAGGTGCCACATGTGATGGCATCATCCCTTTTAGCCAAATTGTTTTTATTTTTCTATCATTGCTGAGCCTGCTGACACATATACCCCTCTCCTCTTCTTTCTTAAAAAATGTTAGAGTAATCCTAGAATTCCCCTGTGCTTTAAGTGTCAATATCCCAATTGTACAGAAGGGAGAAAGGTCTGTGAGGCTAAACAACTTGCCTAAGGCCTTATAGCCTGTCAGTGGCAGAGCTGGGCTGTGAGCTCAGGTTTGTAGAGCCCATTTGTAGGATAGATTGTAGACCTTGTCTTCTGTCCAAAGTGTACTGTATTTTCAGGACTTGAAAATTCTTAGTCCTAAGTCTGACTGCAAACCATTCCAGAAAGCACTGCATAGTGACTTCTTTGTTATGCATCTTGGCTGTCTTTGTATACTTATCACTGTGCAGGTAAAATCTAGAGAATGGATGACAACAAATAGTTTTTTCTTGTGCATCTTTCTTGAATCTTAGCATTTCCAGTGGTCATCAAAATAAGGATGCTTTATAGATAGCAATGTCAGCACTATCTATTTCTGCTGAGAAATACTATGTGTCTTATTAATTAATAATGCCCATGGATTAGTGGAAGGCTTAGTCATACTTTGTGGCCCTTCCTGAGTGCCAAGGCCATCTGGCTTGTTTATCATTATATTTTCCCTACCTGTCTGTGTCAGATAAGTCTTTGTTGTTATTTTAGACATAGTTAAAGGCACTGGAGGTTTAGGACTGCCATGCTATATAGGAGACAGGCTGACTCTTCGTACCATAGGTGGTGGTTTACTAAGGGACTTTGTCATGCCTACTTCATAACAATATCAGAAAGAGACTTTTTAGGACTAGGTCTTAGAAAACAAGTGTGAGATCTAACATGAGAACACTGTGCTGCCTCTAGTGGTATGATAAGGACTTAACTACAGCTATTTAATCTGTACTGTTTTAGTCTAAAGTTGGAGGCCTTTTGAGTGTATTTCTTTGGAAGCCTGATACAGAGCCCTATAGCTAAGGTAATTAATGATTTATGCCAGGAAAAAGAACATTTAGGCAAGTTTGGTTGTAACATTAAAACAGCATCAAGTTGGTTGGAGTCCCTAGGGCCCATCCAACTTTTCTCGTATGTTCTTTAGAATGCTGCGTCTGTGGTGTTTTATCTCAAAGAGTGATCCATAGTTAACTGTACTAACACTTATGCTACCTTAGTATGTGCAGTATACTTTCTAAGTGCTTTATGTATATACATTTTTTATTTAGCACAACAACTGTTTGAGAATGATATTATGATTCCCATTTTTCAGATGGAAAAGCCAAGGCATAGAATATCAGCTAAGTTGCTGGTGGTCGGCATAGAATATCAGCTAAGTTGCTGGTGGTCACCCACCAGTTAATTGTGGAGTTAGAATTCAAACCCAGGAATGTTGACTCCATAGTCTGTGCCGCTATATAGTTTGGCTAAGTTTAATGAGACTGTAATAAATAAAGAAACATGTTTTCCTTTATAGCAAAACTTAGAACCTTGAAAATTCGTTGTCACCATTTTCCAGATCTATTTGACCATGTCTCCCTTTTCTCATGAGGACTCTAGGAACTAGTGTTCTGCAAAGAACATTTGGTGAACTGCTTATTCCTCCCATTTTCCACCCCCGAGTGAGGAGGAAACAAAAGCCCTGACAGATATTGATGAGAGTCCTGGTGTTTATAGGGTCTGGGTTGAGAACCTAGGTGTACTGAAGGCTCATCCGTGCTCTTTCCACTGTTTTCTCCATGCCATTTCTTTGTAAAAAGGTTCTTGTGCCAAAGCCTGATGGGTAGACATCATATTTAAGTGGGTTAATGAGTATAAAATGGCATCAAAATGTAATGTAGGGTGGGCTTGTCAGTGCAGATTAGACATTTCTGTGGTCCTGAAGATAGGATAGTTTGTGAGCAAGTTTTAATTGTTGGGGAAGAGCAGGATTTGGCGGGTAATTGGTGGTTCTGAGATGAAGGCGGCTGTACTGTTAGCGAGGGCTGCTGTACCGGAATACTGCACACTGGGCGGCTTAAAGAACAACTTTTATTCTCATGGCTCTGGAGGCTGTGAAGTCTCCAGGTGCTGGCTGATTTGGTTCTTGGTGAAGCCTCACTTCCTGATTTGCAAATGGCCACCTGTTACTGTGTCTTCACATGACAGAGAGTGAGAGAGCTCTGGTGTCTCTTCCTTTTCTTAGAAGGACCCCAGCCTTATTGGATTAGGCCCCCTACCCCTGTAACCTCATTTAACTTTACCTCCTTATAGGCCCTATCTCCAAATATAGTCACGGTGGGGTTAGGGTTTTAACATATGAATTTTGAGGGGACATAGTTCGATCCATAGCATGGACCAAGTGCGAAAACTGGACATGGGCCTCCAGGAGCTAAGGGTGACCGCAGGCTGGCAACCATAATTGAATTAAATCATTATTATAATTGATACGGTTATTATTTTGAATTTAGATGTCACACTTAGTCAAGGGCTTTATGATACCATTTTATTTCCCTTTTATGTCAATGATACAGTTGCCATTCAAATATTTATGGTATTTAAAATTTATAATTCTTTCATAGTGAGAATTTCTAAAAGAGAATCTGCATGGTAATTAAACACTTGCGTGAGTTCTAGTTTAATTGTGATAAGCAGCTTCTCCCAGGATTCTCTTTGATGGTGGAGGGATTTGGATTAGTGCCTGAGTATTTTGCCCTTTTTTTTTTCCTGGGTCTCTGTGTAGGGATCCTGCCTCCACACCATGAGTCCCATGCACAGGTGATGATGTATCGCAAGGGGCAGTACTTGGATGTCCTTCATGCCCTGAAAGTCGTTCGCTTCGTCAGTGATGCAACACCTCAGGTTGAAGTCTATCTGCGCATGTATCAGCTGGAGTCTGGAAAGTTGCCTCGAAGCCCCTCCTTCCCACTGGTTAGTGGTACTTTTGTTCCAAATGTAGCTCAAATCTAGACTGTCCCATCTTCCTAGCCTTTGATTACATCATGGTTTGCCTTAGAAACTTTCAATCGCTCATCTTTGTCTACAGAATAAATGCAACATTTTTCCCTGACATTCATGGCCTTGTATATTCTGACCTCATCTGCTTATTTTTTAAAATACTATGTTCTATTTTGAAGTAATTTCAAACTTACAGAAAAGTTGCAAGGATACTATCAAGAATTCCCATATACCCTTTACCCAGGTTCCCCAGTTGTCTACATTTTTGAACATTTGCTTTGTCATTTTTCCTATATATGTATGTATATTTTTTCTAAAATGTTTAATATCCCATGACTTCATATTCCTTCAATGCACACTTCCTAAAGATAAGAGCTCTCCCCTAGGTAACCATATTACAACCAGGAAACCAAGAAGTTGACATTGATACAATATTAACATCTAATCTTCAGACTCCATTCACATTTGACCAAATGTTCCAATAATGCCCTTTATCAAAACAAACAATAAAGTTTTAGTTCAGAACTTACAAAACTTTCACCCACTAGTGTTACCATTTGTTGATTTCAAATTCTTAGAAATCACTTCAGAAATAGAAAAAATGTTGCAAAAATAGTATAGTGTTCCCATATACCTTCACCTAGCATCCTCAAATGTTGCATCTCACATTCTGTAGTATAATTATCAAAACCCCAAAATTAGCATTGATACAATACTATGAACTACTCTGTGGACATTATTGGCATTTTGTTGATTATCCCACTGATGGCCTTTATTGGCCCTGTATCCAACCTTTCTTTACATTTATCCTTTACAAGGATCACACTTTATACTTATTTCTGTGTTTTCTTTCTTAGTCTCCTTTAATGTGGGACAGTTCTTCAGTCCTTCTTTGTAGAAACTTTCATAACCTTGACATTTTTAAGGAGTACTGGGCAGTAGAGCATATCTTAGTTTGGGTTTGTTTGATGTTTCCTCATGATTAAAATCTGGTTATGCATTTTTGGCACAAGTACCACAGAAGTAAGATACTTAACTACTCTTGCTGCTGACTTTGATCACTTGGTTAAGGTGGTGTCTGCCAGGTTTCTCCAATGTAAAGTTACTACTATTTCCCTTGTGATTAATAAGTAACATCTGGGGAGAAAGTTTTAGACTATGTAAATATGTATCCACTAATGATTCTTGCCTGTAACAATTTTTATTATGCTGATTGCCAAATAGTGATTTTCTGACTCCTTCATTCCTTTTGCATTTATTAGTTTGCATTCTTTTATAAGGAAGGTTTTCTCCTTATTTATTTATTTATATCAGTGTAAATTTATGGATCCCTTTTATTTAATGGCAGATAATCCCTTACTATCATTATTTATTTTGGTACTCAAATGGTCTTAGATTTGACGAGTAGAAGTTCATTAAGCTGACTTCTATGTCTTTTTGACAAGTTCCCATCATTTTGAGCATTTCCTTACTTTCTGGCACAAAAAGGTATTCCAGGTTCATCTTGTACTTTCCCTGCCTCAGGCCTGGAATCTGCCTCCCCTCTCCACCCATGGAATGTGGTATTTAGAAACCAAGAATAGAGCACTAGATATGCCCATTATTCCTGGTGTATCATTGCTTCTCTGCCCTCTCAGCCAAAGCAGCTAGGAAATTATATGTATGTACACACACATTCACATACATATTTACACACCCCTATGTATGTTTGTATATCTGTGTATCTCAATATAGTGAAAACCCTGAGCTCACACTAACACTCCAAATACAATGCAGTGTCATATTCATTCTAGCTTGTACCCTTTCTGTACTGTAACTTCCTTCTCTGACAGTTGCACACATGAAGAGGCTCCCATGACCCTCAGTATATTTACTTCTTTGCTTGTTCCTCTGCCACCGACACTGCTGGCCACCCCCAGCTCTGGCCTGCAGGCCCCATCGGTCCTGTGGTCCCTGGCTGCTTCCTCAGCCCTGACTCCACCATGAGCCCCAGCCTGCTCTTTAAACTTCACCTTCAATGAAGTACTTACTCTAGTTACTTGGACTACTTATTGTTGGTAAAAGGAACAGATGGGGAAAAGGAAGAGTTCAGGCAAAGGAATGATTATAGCTCTTAAGCTTTGGCTATTTTAATGCAATTTGAAATTTACTCTAGGCCCCTAGGGGTGGGGCTAAAACAGCAGTTCAAATAGGGATTTGTTCAAAATAGGGATTTGCATGAAAGCTGTGCTATCTATAAAATCTATTTTATTTTTATTGCAGATTGCAACCTGCCAGTGTAGCAGCTTGAGCTTTGAATTGTTCTTTCTTTTTGAAGTTAATAATGTGGTTCCCATGGATGCCCATAGGTCACCCACTTTTATTAAGTTTATCAGGAGGGAATGGCCCTGAAAATAATTAGAACTCTTAATAGGCTTCTTTAAATTTTGCTTATCTTTGGCAAAGTGAAGTTGGTAGTACTGCACAAGTTCTTCAATTATATATTAAGTTAGGTTGGATTATCTATTAGTTCAAAAATGATAGGGTATAGTTGTCCGCTTATCTCTGCTCAGCCTGTCTGTACTTCAAGCCCAGACACTTTTACTGTGGCCTCGGGCAGATGTGCTGTCAAAGTGTTTGTGTTGGGCTCTGCCACGCCGTGTTTCCCTGATTAACCAAGCCCCACTCAGCCTCATTTTTCTTATCCATTAATCAGAATGTGTGACAGTGCCTGGTACATGCCCGGGAACATGGTCAGTCACGGACATTGGCCCCCTTCCTTGGCCACCCATAGAGGCCGGGAGCAGTAGTGAGATGCCACGTTCAGGATCGCCTAGCCCTGTGCCCAGTACTAGGTGGGAGTCCAAGGAAGGAGCTTCCCTCCCCTTCTCTTCTGTCTTTCCTCTCCTCTGACAAGTTAATTAGTGTTTAGAAAAATGCATTTTCTACCGTTTTGTTACTTGACATCTTACAGAATATTAGGGAGTTGAAAGGAGGCCCAAGATGAAATACTTTTATTAGAATAGGAATTTTGATTTAACTTGAGGCTTTCTAGGGGAGTAGAAAGACACTTTTTAGTTTCTTTTTTGACATTAAAATTTCTTAGCTATTAAATCCTAGATGAAAATATATTTTTGTGTAAGATATGGTGTTTGGAAACAAAATAGATTTTCAAGCAGATTTCTCTGTTGAAATTTACTTGAGGGTTTACTTTAATGTTCTGAGTATTGACACAAGGTTTGAGAAATGCCATTCTTCTGATTCTAGGGACATTTTAACTTTTTAGGTGCTTGCACATAGAACAAAATTCTGAAGTTTTTTTGAATGCTTTGAAATAAAGAAAATGCGGTCTTTGGGAGTCATTTAATTTTTGGAAATTACCATATTAACCGATGTCTGCAATTATTATTTGTGCTGTGTATCGCATCGTTTTTTAGAGAAATTCTCCTCTAATACTGGGAATATTTTTGGGTGGAGAGAAGACTTGCCTCTGATATACGTTGATTCTTTTTTGGATGGCCCTAAGGTTAGAAGTTGGAAAACCTTCGAGTGGTCAGCCTGAAAACTAGGCATTCATAAACAGCTCTCGTTCAGATAGATTTCTGTGGTTACTCATTCTTACCTCCTCCTTGGTCTTCTCTTTTGTGATGGAATGTGTGCTTTTTGGTTCCATTTTGATTTATTAATGCAGCCTCTTCAAAATTTAGGGGATAAAGTTTCATTTTTATGAAAGAAATATTCACTTCTGCTGCCTCCCTCTTGAGATTTATTATTAATCTTTCAGGAGCCAGAAGATGAAGTATTTCTTGCCATTGCTAAGGCCATGGAAGAGATGGTGGAAGACAGTGTCGACTGTTACTGGATCACTCGATGCTTTGTGAATCAATTAAACAACAAGTACCGAGACTCTTTACCCCAGCTGGTAAGGGAGACTTTTTTGGCTGTTGGCAGGGGATGGGTGGGTGAGCAGAGGTACTGGGAGTCTTCAGGAAATACCCTTACCTCTTGATGCTGCTACAATTATGAGTAAACCCTCTATAATAGGAGTCAGCAAATATTTTCTGTAAAAGGCCAGGTAGGACAATAAATATTTCCAGTCTGGCAGGCCATACAGTTTCTGTGTCTCTGTGGCAATCATTCATTTCTGCTGTTGTCACACAAAAGCAGCCATCGGCAATATGTGAAGGAATGGTCATGGCTGGATTTGGCTACTGCAGGCCATAGTTTGCTCACCCTGCTCTATAGTATTCCTTATGCTGGTCTGGAATCTACTGGCTTTATCTAGAATTATGCCTCTGCATAAGTTAAGGTTTAAGTTTGGCTGCACTTAATGGAAAGACCCCCAAACGGAAGCTTTATTGTTTCCTTTCATGTAACTAGAAGGCCAGAGGTGGGGCAGTCTGGGGCTGGTGCCACAGCACCACGGTATCGGTGGGGACCCAGGCTCCTGCCTGCTCCAGCATCCTTAGGGGTGACCCTTCCTCTTGTGCTTGCAAGATGGGTGCCACAGAGACAGCCGTGACGGCTGTGCAAGCAGGGAGGGCAAAGCGGAGACAAAAACACAAGAATAAAGGGACAAGCCAGTCAAGGCTGTCCCCCCTTAACAGACTTTCCTTCTGCATGTCAGTTAGTGCCAGGACCATGTTACCTGGCCACCCTTCTGCGGTGGAGGCTGGGAACTGTGCTTTTGTTTAACCAGACACATGGTGATCTCCCATTAGAATTGGATTCTGTTAATGAAGGAGAGGTGACTGGATCGGAGGGAGGCAGCGGCTGTCTGCTGTCCTCTAATTTGGGAATCCGGGGAACTGAAAGGCTTTTGCTTCATCAGCATAAGCCAGTGCTCCTTTCCATTCCCTTTTTCCAGTTTATTTCCTTTATCTCTCATTTATAAAATTGAATCTTATTTCTTAAATAATTGAATTGTTTTATTTGAAAATTCTATTGAAAGCAGGCACTGTGACGTGACGTGGGTGGCAGGGCAGAGGCGGGGCCTGCTGGGGGGCGGCTGAACCCCGGGGGTCACTGCTCTAACTGGGTCAGTTGCCCCGGCGGCGGCTGGCAAGGCCTGTCGGCTGCGTTGAGCACTGAGCAAGGGTGTTTTCTTTAAATATTTAAGTTAAGTAAAGTTTGATTTTTAGAATCTTAAAATTTAATTCATTGTTGATTTCAATAAAATAGTTTAAACATGGCATTGGAGCTTCTGTAAATACAATTTTGCCTCATTAAATCAAGATGTCCAAATTATTCCATGATTTACTTAGCCTTTCCTATTTAATATTAGAGTAAGTGCAGTAACATTTTGAAAGCTTATGTTAAAAAATTCATGCTTTATTTTTGATAACACAAATAATAAATACATTCTTGAAGTATTAAACAATCCAAATGAATCCACTGTTTTCACACTGAAGATCTGTGACACCACCTCTCCATCCCCCGTTTTCTAAGAAGTAACATTGTCAGCTTGATGCGTGTTCTTCTAGACTGTTTTATATACACTAGGGTGGATGGGTGTGTGTGCTCATGTTGCATATACACACATATATTGATATATATTTTTACATATGTAAATAGTTTTAAAATTATAAATATTATCACACTGCTTGTGTGGCTCTATAATTTTTTTTTTAACATCATGTCTTGGAGGCTTGCCAAGTTAGTACAGCTAAATCAGTAGTTTTCAACTCTGAATTCCTATTAGTACCATCTGGGAGCTTTTAAAAATTAGCGGTGCCCTTCCTCTACCCAACTAATTAAGTCAATCTCTGGAGATAAGGCCCCAGAATTCTAATTTTTTAAAAGCTCCAGGTGATTCTGAAGTGTGGCCCAGGGTGAGAGCTATTAATTTAGAACCACCTTTTTTCTTTTTTTAAAAAATTTGCTCCTAGTATTTCTTATTAAGAATTTGCCATAATTTAACATAACAGACCAATGCTGACACTCAACATGCCCTTGCACGCTTTCCTTTGGGTATGTGTGTGAGTGTTTCTCTAGGATGGGCACCTGCAAGGGGAGCCCTCACTTGAGGGAGAGGCATATTTAAACTGCTAGGTTTTAACTGCCAGGTTGCGCACCTAGAAAATGTACCAATTTGGTTTCTTCCAAGAGATTACGAGATTTCCTGTTTTACACTCCGTTGCCAATACTTGATAGTATCTGTCACTTAAATTTTTGTTAATCTGATAGAGAAATGGTATCCAATTTTAATTTAAATATTCTCATTTTCCAGTGAAGTTGAACAGTTTTCACTGTTTATCAGTCACTTATATTTGTCAGCCTTTCTATTATTTTGTTTGCTTCCTTTTTTATTTGTAAGAGTTATCTATAACTCTGGATATTCTTTGTCTATTACATCTGTTGAAAATATTTTTTCTTGTCTATTTTACAAAGATTTTTAAGTTTTTTAAATCATGTTTATTCTATTACATTTGTCTGAATTTTTCCTCCTTTCCCTCCTCCACCCATCCCCCCCCCCAGTCAATTCCCACTCTGTTGTCCATGTCCATGGGTCATTCATACATGTTCTTTGTTCAGTTCCTTCTCCTTCTTTCCACCGTTGTCCTCCTTCCCCATCCCCTCTGGTCACTTTCAGTCTGCTCTGTTTCGGTGCCTGTGGTTTATTTTGTTTGTTAGTTTATTTTGTTGAATAGACTCCACTTATAGGTGAGATCATATGGTATTTGTCTTTCACTGACTGGCTTATTTCACTTAGCATATTCTCCAGTTCCATCCATGTTGTCACAAAAGGCAGGAGTTTCTTTCTTTCTTTCTTTCTTTCTTTCTTTCTTTCTTTCTTTCTTTCTTTCTTTCTTTCTCTTTCTTTTTTTCTTTCTTTCAATGTAGACTGATTTTATTTATTTATTTTAAATGTTAAAATCCATGATAAAATATTGAAAAATTTAAATCCAGTATAAAGTCTCAGCAATTAAAACATGACACCTGCACAGAAATAATCAAGTAGATCAATGAAATAAAATGAGCATTCTAGAAACAAATGTATATATCTGTCTAACAATGTGATATATGATTAAGTTGATATTTCGATCACTGGGGAAAATAAGGCTCATTCAACAAATAAGGTGCATGGACTACTATTACTTGAAATAAAACAAATATAGAACCCTATTTCACACATTATACAAAAAATATTCAGGTGAGTTAAAAATCAATATGTAAAATCTAAGGAGTTAGTTTTAGAAATTCTCTTTACTTAGGCTATTCACCCTTAAGGTTGGTTGTTAACCTCAGAAAATACCCACAATATGTTGACTACAAAGAGCAAAATACTAAGTTCTATATTCAGTATGAGTTCATCTGGTAAAAGAAGAGAGTGTGTGTAGTGTGTACAGGAAAACAAATGAATGCTGCACAACCTGTCATTGCATAGTTATCTTTGGGTAGTGTGATTATAGGTGATCTTTATATCCTTTATTTCCTGTATTTTTTGAGGTTTATTATAATCATATTATAAATCAAGAAAAAAACTTTAGAAGAATTTAAGACTGGCTAAAAGATGTACATTGTGTGATTATTAAGATGTTGATTAATGCATTTAAAAATTTCATTTAATTCACAATATTTATTTATTCATTCAATAGTTATATAGTGAATCCTTATTATGCCAAGTAATGCTCTAGGTACTGGAAAACTAGCAGTGAACAAAACAGATGCAGACCCTGCCCTCACTGAGCCTACCATCTGAAAAAGGAACCAGACAATAAATAGTTTTAAATCTTCACTCATACATATCTTGTTTGTTTTTTGTACTGCCTTTTGGATAAAACTTTCTTTGCTGTGAGACATAATATATAAATGTGTGTGTAAATGTTTTTATCCTTGTCACTTTGTGGAAAAAGCCCACATATGTATCATTGGCAGAACTGACCAAAATTCTAGAATGGAGTTTCAGAGGTGCAAGGTGAGAACAGGAGCCCTTTGGCAATTTGTACTTTAGTGAAAAGCTCCTGGTTTGGGGAGTTGAGTGTAGAGTTCTTGAGAAGCTCTAGGAACTGTTAAGTAGTGGAAGTTAGTTGGATAAACAGAAAAGGTTAGAGATCCTCTGAAAGAGAGGGGAAAACCAGACCAGATAGTAATATGTGGATCTGCTTTGTCTGGCTAACTCCTCTGTGTTCTTCATGGGCCAGCTCACATGTCTCCTCTCAGGGAGACTGTTTCTGGCTTCTGAAGCCTGGGTTAGGATTCCCACCTGGATGTGCCCAGCATCCTGTGCTTATCCCTGTCATAGCTTTATCACATTGCCTTCTAGTTACCTCTTTCCTGGGCTCTGCCAACCTGCTGTAAGCTTGAAGGCAGGGGCTTGACCTCATCTTTTCTTCTATTTCCTGTGAGTAGCACAGTGTCTGGCTGTCACGAACACTGTATTGTTTTGAATCACCTCTTTGGCAGAAACACAGAGAGGCAGATATTTAGTAAAATAAACATTTATGTGTACTTAGGTGACGGGTCTGGCCGAGCTCTTCTGGGAAGGGAGCACAGACCCTACGGCCCGTCCGTGGCCAGTGGGCCCTCAGTAGAGCAGCCTGTGCCTGGTCTGGGGAGCTGGCTTTGTTAACCTCCCCGTGTTCTAGAGTTGGCTGCTGCTTAAATCTCATGTGGGGGAGGCCACCTGATGGAATCCAGGTGCTTTGTTCCCTCTGTGTTAATTCCCCTAAGAGTTCTCGTGCATATTTTGTGGGATACAGAGCTGCTCCTCTGGACATCCCTGTTGGGTGCACCCACTTGGCATGGTGCACAGTACTGCTCAGTGTGGGTCAGCATGTGTGTGGTCAGCCGCCAGTGGGCCCTTTTCATCTTCAGCTCTTTTGTCTCCTTCTTCCTAGTTCTTTCTCCTAGTTTAGTTCCATTCTATTTTTCTGGTTTTCCCCTTGCCTTTCCCCCTTTTTTCCTGTATATATAATCTACTGCCCTAGAGCCACCAGGAATATCAAAGGCCTTTGTAAGCTCCCCAGAACAATTGAATTTGGCTTTGGACTTTTGTCTTAGGTTGGTCAATCTGGTTAGTGCAATTAATATTAGGGTGACTAACTATTCCGTTTTGCCTGGGACTGTCCCAGGAAACACCTCAGTCCCGGATGTTGGTTGCTCTGGTTATGCTGACTTAGGAAACTGCTGCATCACTGGTGACTTGGATGATTCTGAAATTTTGTTTTCTAGCACTTCCTGACGTTCATCATGTGCATTTTTTCATCACAGGATATAAGATCAGGTAATGTTACATTATAGGAAATGAATAATCTCTTCCTGTTTTATCATTAGCCAAAGGCTTTTGAACAATACTTGAATATGGAAGATAGCAGGCTGCTGAGTCACCTGAAGATGTGTTCTGCCATGTCCAAACTTCCTTATGACCTCTGGTTCAAGAGGTGCTTTGCAGGTTGCTTGCCTGAATCCAGTTTACAGAGGCAAGTATTTCTTCCAAAGGTGTACTGAATGAAGGCCCAGGTCAGCGAAGAATCCTGGTTTCTCATGTGATCGTCCCTCAGAATATAAATTTGCTTTAGAACAACATAGTCATTTAATGCTAACTTCTCTAACATCTAATATAGCAACACACAATTCTGTTTGTTAGAATACAAATACTTAATAGTAACATTAATATTACAAGTATTAGAATATACAATTACAAAAATTGAGGGCCCTCAGTGTGATAGATGCTGTACAATATTTACATCTGAAACAGTCTCCAGGAGTTTACGCAGGCATGGCCTTTTCCAGAAATGCGATAGAGCCTAATCTAGAGAACACCTTGGTATTTTTTAGTTTCATTATGACATCGTTCAAGTAGTGGAGGCAGTAAAAGATTTGAGCCTCAGACACAGCATCTTTAATGAAAGCATTAGTTTCAGACATGTGTTAAGCATGTTTTGGAGTCCCAGCCCTCTCGGTCCACGGTGTTAGGATGTAGCTGGAAAGAGAGCAATAAACAGAGAACATTACAAGACAATACATAACTAAGAACAGAGAGTGTAATACCACCTTTAAGAGTTACGGGAGTTATCAGAATAATTGCTTTAGAGTGGTTGCACGGCAATGACCATCTCCTTAAGCCCATGGAGAAGCGGAAGGAACTTGAACCACTGGAAAATGAAATTGAATTTATCTCATTTTATATACTCCTTTTGTTGTTCCTTAGCATGTTATGATTATATTAGCATTACAAAATATTGTAAAATCTAATCTTGGGTTTAGGATTTTTCTTCTCAGAATTGTCAGTTTGAAACATTTAGGGAATGGGCATTTGGTAGATTTCTAGGAGAGCAAGTACTTCTCAGTGATCATTTCTTTTTCCCTTCCAATGTTAATTATGTCTAAAATAGGTTTCAAATAGCTGATTTGTTTTGTTGTTTTTGATGATGATTTCATTATAGTTCTTTTGTGAATCTTACACTTAAAATAGGAGTGATTTGATTTAATTTTATAATGTGAGATGTCTAGGTAAACAACTTTTAACCTCACATACTTTGATTACATATCTCCTCATTTTGTAGGGTTTGGGATAAAGTCGTAAGTGGATCCTGTAAGATCCTAGTTTTTGTAGCAGTGGAAATTTTATTAACCTTTAAAATAAAAGTAATGGCACTGAACAATTCAGAGAAGATAACAAAGTTTCTGGAAAATGTAAGTGTGCTTTATTTTATTTGATTTTGAATCTAGAAGGGAAGTTAGCTTAGCAAGCCAGATTTTCCTATTGCATTACATTATATCAGAGAAATAACACAGTATATTTTTACATTGTAAGAAAGAAATTTTCCCTTGGAAACATTTAGCTGACAATTGATCAGTGGGTTAAAGTTTGCATTCTCTGTTTGGGGACGATGGGCTGAGCTGTGAGACTGTCACTGGGACTGTGTGCCCTCAGCACCAGGGTCCTGTTCTCTGATGGGTCTACTAGGAGTCTTGTCAAGAAAAGGAAGAGGTGAGTCTATCATGTTAGGATGAGTAACCCTTGTTAGTGGAAGAGGAATCCTGGTGCTTTGGGGATTTTTAAGCCCTTTCATTTCTGTACCATAGTTGTTGGAATCCCAGTTGGGTTTGGTAATGTGCTTAAGTATAAACTTAATGCATGTTGGAAAAGGTCTGAATGAATAAGCTTTTCCCTTTCTGTGTCTTGGAATGCCCTTAACCAGGCAAGAGTTAAAAGTAAAGAGACTCACGCCTGAAGGAATTTCACCGGATCCAAAATCTATTCTTTGTTTTTATCGGTCAATATTAACATTTGAACAGTGGGCTGGTAAATAATAAGTACTAAGTGTATGTGTGTTGAACAAATTACTCAGTCACTACAATAATCAGTGGCTAACAGTGCCGGGCAGTGGAGGTGGAGTTTTAAGTGGTTTTTGTGGATTATCTCATGTAATCCTGTAACAGCTGTGTGGAGTGAGGCTACCATTTGCCCCATTTTAGAGACGGGGTCTGAACCCAGGTACCTTAGGAAACCTGTTCGGGGGCACACAGTTTGGTGGGCAGTGCAGGATTGGGACCTAGGCAGTCTGACCCCAGAGCTCCTTAGTATGTCCTCAGGTGGCCTGTGAAACAAAGATCCTGGCAGCCAGCCACCTTTGATGTGACCACAGAGAGAACGGCCTTGGAAATGCGCTTCATGAGGTTCATGCCACGGTGAATGAGGGATCCTGAAGCTGTAAACGCTGACATTTCACAAAGACTGGTTCGCTTGTTTACAGATTCCCCAGGACAGCTCGGATGCGATTGTGAGCAAGGCCATCGACTTATGGCACAAACACTGTGGGACCCCAGTACATTCAGCCTGAACTTCATCTGTGGACAGTCTGCCAGCCCCGCCCTGAATATTTTGTTATGGGAACATGATCTACTAAACTGAAAACAAGGTTCTTGCTTTGGTGCTCAAAGTGTAATTTCTTTTCCAGTAAAATTATTTAATTAAGAGTCCTGGCGTTGCTGTGTTATGAGCTGCATCTTTTGATTGCACAGAAGTACAAAGTTCCACTCTGAATACAATTTTGAAGGGTTGTTGGAGTTTCTAAAGCGTATCTAAGTTTGTAAAACAACAAGAAAGAAATACACTCAGAAGGAAACTTATTAAAGCAAACTGCTCTCTACAGTTAACATTTTATTCATTGATTCCCTCTACCCCTGAATAACCAGTTAGGGATATAAGGAAAACACACAAGAAGGGATTCCTGCTTCAGTTTTCTGCTGTCTGGTGATCTTAGGGAGATATGTGAAATTCAAAGAGAAGTCATAAAACGCTAATGACTTTGTGTATTTAATTTATCATGTCATTTGTACAATTATTTTGTAAAATGGAGATTTGAAAGTCAAGCGATGTTAGTGAATATCTGTTCCAGAAAAAGGAGAAAAAAAGAATTAGCAATCTCTCAACCAGAGAAAAATTTGAAGATATGTTTTCCTGCGTGTGCCTAACTGCTGGGAGAAGACTGGTGTGTCCTAGGGGAAGAGTGGGAGGCGGGGGGAGACCCGAGCGCCTGGGACTCCTGATGGGGAGGAAGCTTAGGGGCTGCGACATTCACCTGCCCAGCCTGGGGAGGCCCAGGTGATCCGAGAGGGAGGGCTGTTACTGTGCTGCAGAGGAATTGGAAGGTAGGTACTACAATATATTCTGCAAGTATATTCTGTCAGACTTTCGGTAAAAACCTTTCTGGAACCATCAATTTTCTTTATTAGAAGACTGAACAGCTTCATCTCAGTAGAAGGGTTTTCTAAGGTGCACTGTGAGGACAATGATAGGACAGTGAGGATCCGGTTTCTTTTTCATGTCAGAATTTACTTTTGTTAAGAGCTAAGTATTTTGAAAATGTTTTCGCCCATGCCTTTAGTGAGAAGCACAGCTCCCGATGAAAATAACCCCATTTTACTTTATTCAAAACATTTGCTCAAGATACTGCAGATTTTCTCCTCTATGTTAAAGCCCATGGTTTCTGTTGTAGCCAAAACCTTGTGGAGTTCTTCTCCCTTGGAAAACTGGGATTTAACATTGTTGAGTTCTGCTCTGTTAGGCGATATTGAGGGCCAAGGATGGTGTATGTGTGTGTGTGTGGCTTTTGCCTGATGACAGATGGAACTGACAGACTGTGCATAGGCTTGTGTATGTGTAAGGCTACTACAGGAAGTGAGGTCTGGGTCATGCAAATGGAACGCTTTATTTTTTTGTTAATGGAAAGTTTGCCTGAAAATCGTGGGGCAACACTCAAATCATATGATGTGTAGAAAGCACCCTGCAGGCTCCATCCGTGCCTTGAATTGCCTAAGAATTCTCCCTTGCTCTGACCACTCCCCCTGTCATGGGGTCCTCACCTCCCTACGGTAGCTTGAAGTTTGTTTTTTTGTCCCTGAGAGTGAAGAATCTGGAGGGAAGTCTGTGGGGGTGAAGAGGATGAAAATAGAGCTTCTGTGCCCAGGACTTGGTCTGAAGGCTAGTCTCTTGCTCCAAGTGCCAGGCTCTGCAGGTGCTGAGATTTTAAGCAGGAGTGGTGTCCTGAGATCTTAAGCCGAAGGCGGCCTTTGGGAGAGATGGGGCACGCGGGCAGCTGGCAGGGCGTCTGGCTCTGCATTTTACATCTGCCGGTGGTCACACGGGGTAAGCAGCTTTTGTCTGCTGGCTTTGGAAGGGCCACAGGATGCTTTCTCTCCCTCCACAGGGACGGAGTGTGGGAATTTGTGTAGCGGGAGTTGGTGGCATTCCCTCTGGTGGGTGAAACAAAGGGCTGTTTCTCCTCTAGAGTCTGTGCCAAATGAAACTGCTTGTGGCTTTGGCACAAACTGTGCCTCTCCACATCAGCTGTTGCTTATCCAGAGCATCACCAGTTGAGGGGGGGCGGGGAGAGGGTGATGAGAACAGGAGGCGGTGGGAGTTTTCCTGGAGGGCCACGGGAGGGCCGGGGGTGCTGGCCATTGACTGCTTTCCGGACCACTTCCTCCCTTTCCCTTTCAGTCTCTCTCTCGGCCTTATCCTAGGAGGTTAAAAGGTAAGTGGACAGTTAGTTGCTAGTGAGGTGACAGTTTCCCACTTTACTCCTGGGGGCTGGTTTTATTGTAGGGCAACCACACGGGGAGTGGAGAACGTGATCTGAGAAGGACATGGGGAAAAATCCTTCAGGAAGCCTGTTCCAACTGAGCAGAGCTCCACATAGAATATCACAGCAGGCGCTTAGTGTTCAGACCCCAAAATCACACCTAACATTTAGGTATTAGTCGTTTACCAAGAACTTACACAAACACACACGCTAGGGATGGCTAGAGCTCACACTAACTTCTGGTCCTCCTTTCTAGTTTCTTCCTGGTCTTCTCCCATCACCCTCCTTTCTCTACAGCATTAACAGGTAGCAACCTGGTCCTTGGTAGTTTTCACATCTCCCGCCATTTCTGCCCCTTGTCCCTGCCCCTCCTGCCTGCTGGACGTAATGCTCCGAAGGTTTGCGAGGGAGGCAGCAGGGAGGATGATTCGTTTCTAAATGTCAGAAGGCTGCACACCCCGCCTCCCATTCCACTCCTCTTCTGTTTGGTTATTTGTTCTTTTATTTATTCTCATTCAATCCTGAAATAAATTTGACTGCATTCCTCCTTGTGGGCCAGGTACTGGGCTTAATTGCTGAGTAAGTCATATGCTATCTGCCCTCTTGGAGCTTAAATCATGTGAAGACAAATTTTAAGTTAAATACATACTTTGTTCTCTTAGTCTTTAAGTAAAGCACCTTGCAGCACCACGGAGGAGGTAACCTGGGCTGCCCAGAAGCTCCAGGGGAAGGTTGGAATTACTCTGAGATGTTGCTTCTTTATCCTCTTCCCTCACGAATGGAAGAGGCAAGAGAAGGGGCCTTGGCTGGGGGGAGAGTGGGCTTGGGAGAGGGTCTGAGCCCCTGCCCCACTCCTGTACCTCAGTGTCCCCATTGTAAATAGTCGTTATTTACATTCCTTACCCCTCAGCGTGCTCCTGAGCCTCGAATGAGTTTAGTGTGAAAGCACTTGAGGAAACACGGGCTCCACAGAGTGCCGTTATTGATAGATGGTATGGAAGAGCATGGCCAGGCTCTGCCCCTGCTTGAGTCTGCACTGTGCTCAAGGCCTAACTCCGTTTTGCAGGCTCTGAAAAGTCTCCTGCCGACTTCCAAGCTGAAAGTGCCATCTCCTTGCTCTGAGCTTCTGTAACATTCAGGCACCACTGCTTTAGCAAACATTGTTTGGAAGTCTCTCATTTGCTGGTCTTCAACTTTTATTAAACCTTCCATGTGGTTTTCCTCTAAAATGCAGGCTTCTCAAGGCCAGACTCTGTCCCTTCCCCTTTCGCATACTTTCACCTTACCCAGCACACTTTCCCAGGCATGTTTTCCCCCCTCCCCTGACTTTGGGCACACTGCCATCTTTGTCAGAACATCCTCTGTGGGCTCTATCCTCCTAGCTTTAAGATTTAACCCAAGCACTCCTCCTCCAGGAAGCTCTCCTGGCTCTCTCCCCTTCCACGGCACTCAGTATCCTTTTCACCACACTTAATGCAGTGCTTTAGAGAGTGACCTGTTTATGTCCCACACTAGCCTGCAAGATCCCTGAGGGCAGAGATCATGTCTTGTTCTCCTTCATTCCCGTAGTGCCAAGCACATCCCAACCTGCCTGGGTTCTCCATGAATATCTGTTGAATACATGAATGCCCGGCTCAGTGTTGATTCAGACTCCTCCGGTGGCAAGCGACAGAACTGTTGTGGTGCTAGCTTGCTTAAAGGAGACTTGATTATAGGGTACACGGGTGAGACTCAGATTCAAAGGGAGCAGGGCTGGCATCTGGGACAGGACTAAAGAGACTCCGGACCCTCTTGCCCTTTTCTCTTCGACCTCCCTCTGTGTGCAGTCCAGATTGCTCTGGTGAAAGATGCCTTTCCCCCTAAGACCTTAACCTCGAAGGGTCCAAGTCCCGTCACTAAGTCTGCAGGAGCGGCCGTGGTCCAGTGTGGGTCTGCTGCTGTCCATCCTCTGTAGCCATGGAGAGGGAGGGCTCATGCAGCAAACAGATGGCCACCAGGAGCCTCGGTGTCCACGGCAGTGTAGGAGTGCTCAGCGAGGGGCATTGTCACAGGGTCTACTGTGAATTGGGAGGACACTCTCAAAAGCTTCCCACTCCATTTCGCAAATCCCTTGACGGGACATGGGCCCTGCAAAGGTGCCAGGAGGGGTAGCTAAGTCCGAATGGCTTGTCCTTCACCACTTATTCCTGGTTTCTGTCAACCCGCCAGGGGGGCACAGCCAGCCCTTTCAGGTGGGGTGGGCAGAGTGGGAATGCCCAGTGGCAGCATCGGTAAACAACGCCTCACCTGGCCAGGTGGTTCCTTTGTGAACGCTTCACATCAAATCTAGTTTATTCTGGAAATCTTTGGAAAGTAGGCTTTGCCCAGCTCCTTTTTCCCCCCTGGGTCGAGTGGGCGGCTTGGTGGCGAGTGGCTGGCAGCAGCTGTGTTTATTTGCCTCTGATTGCTGGGGAGGTTGGTGGTTCCCGCAGGGTGTCCAACACCTGGGTCTCTAGACTGAGTTGGGCTCCGGCCCAATCTAGTGACAGTTGTATGAACCTGAATAAGGTCATTCAGGGTAGGCAGCTGCTAAGGCCGACTGATTTCAAGATCACAGGGCGGCACACCTTGACCTGAGGAATGTGGGAGCTGGAGAAAAACTTGCTGGTCCTCTTCCCAATACACAGATATGAAAAGTGAGCTTCCGGGATTAAGGAGGTTATACCAGGTTGCTGTGGGTAGCCAAGCCGCCTCTAGAACCCAGGCGTTCTGGCTCTGTCTAGCATGTACTTCACTTCAAGCTACTTCTTCATCCTGAAACACTGCCCTACCTGTTCTCTGAGCCCTAAAAATCCCTTCATCTGCACAAAACACTGTAATAATATCACCTCTCAGAATTGTTAGGAGGAGTAAGTGCAGAAAGACACACGGAGCCCTTAGCTCAGTGCTGGGCATTGAACAAGCACTCAGTGGCCATTAAGTATCATTGTATCATGTGATAAATGTGTGTCCTCAAAGAGATGGCATTGTGACTTACAGTTCTAC